TTCATTGAAATCACACACAGTGTGAGAGTTCATTAAATCATGCATCGTTCATAGATTGTTGTTGTTTATACTTGTTTCACATGTTGCATGTGTCAAAACGGTTGCATCAGACCTCTAGGCACATAATTTTGACAACAATCATACATCTATAAAAAATCTGCCCGACCACATGGCTAGTAACAAGGTATGTATGGGTGCCTCAAAACAGTGTTTACGACCGCAGTTACGACTCGCCAAAGTGGTAACAACGATGCTTTGCGATCTGAGAAATGGCATTTTGCGAAGCTCTTGTAAGACCATGCTGCTACCTAGTAGCAAAGCACCGATGATTCGGTGGCCGTTTATCATCTGTCACGTGGTGACGCGCTACACGGAATAAAAATATTCTACATTCATTGAAATCAAACCTTTTCGTAAATAATTTTCCAAATTATCCAATCGTTATAATGTCTAAACCTAATGCATTTACAGAGCATACTAGTATCATATGTGGAGATCACTTTTCCGGCCAAGTGGTTCTAAATAAAAGTCCAAAGCTGCCAGAGTCGACGTCCCCTGGGATAAAACAAAGTGCTGCAGATGGAATGGCTTCCCAAACTAGTTTCACTTCAGGCTTTGGATTACTGTTTTGTTTTACTATTTGAACTAATTTCGTAATAGTTATATTTAGACATTAAATTAAAATTATTTTTTCGTATATAACGAGTACAAATATATCTAAAATCATGATGTTCACAATTACTAGTCAGTAAAACCTGTCAAAATTGACCATGATAGGGACTGGTGATGACGCTGATCATTTGTTTATGTCCAGAGTCATACTGCCAGACACAACACGATGCGTGGGCGTGTGGTGTGAAAAACTTAAAGGCCGACATTTACTACCTATAGGCTGGGCAGAGCTTAGTATTCTAATTATTCAATGGCAGCAACTGTCAATCGTTCATTAAATGTAGATACTAGTAGTCCTAATCTTTTGTTTATGTGTAAAGTTACTAATTTGAGCTGTGTAAAGTGAAACAAACAATTCATTTTTGATGACAAGGCAGCTTGTTGGAATCCAAATTCAAGTCAGGTATACTAGTATGCACAGTCTATTCTATGCTGCAATGTTCAATATATATATTCACAGACATAAATTATGTTGCATAGAGTCTCTGAGCGATCACTTTTTACCTCAGACAACTAAGAGAACTGTATATTCAAATAATATTTATGTTGCTTGTCCTTGCATCATCTCAGACCCAGGTGAAACGAAACACATTCGTTCACGGATTTGACCTACATGTATTATCTTTCATAACCTTACAGGCAAGAGCGGCTTGGATCGATCATTGGGTTGTAATATTATTTTATCGCTTATCATACTGGAAATGGTTAGTTTCGCGTCACATATTCACGTGTTCGTGCCATTGCCAGTGATTATGTTTTCTTGTTTTTTTCTTCTTCTTATATTTTGGCTAGGGTGCACAATGAAGAAAGAACATCAGCGGCGACATTGTTTACATTTATAGTGGAACTTGTTACAAAGTATCAACTAGGTTCCCACGCAATTTTGAATTTGGATTGAGGTCGTTCACGGACATGGGGCAGAGAAAATAAGAAATGTGATACTGCTCAAGTTTTCTGTCGAAGCCACATGGTATCATCTATTTTTTTGACAAAGAATTCCAAACTATGCCGGTCTAGTCAAACACAAGAACGCGTAAATGTGCTTATTTATCGAATATATATCAATTTGGTGGTAAGCTGTATTCTCCGGAATCAACACCATTGTGTTATCCCAGAGACTCGGCTGTGATACTTTGCATAGATGCCCGTAATCACCGCCAAATGAAACGAGCTGGATCTATGTAAATGGCGAATACGGGTGGTATGAAGCTAATTGGACAACTGACACAAACAACATTACGTCAAAGCATCCCCATGTGATCCTGGTTTCAATTTCGAAAGAGACAGAAAAGGAAGTAGGGAGGAGTCTGAACGTAAATATGCGTGAAAATACATAAATGTAGTAACTTGAAATTTTCACTAGCCTTACAGAATAGTGCCGGGCGTACAAACGGGCAGTAATTTCAAACACTGGGGTAAAATTAAGTTTACAAATAGGATCCCCAAAATTCTATTAATTGAATAAGTATTTATGAGCAAAAAGTTGTTTTTGCTAATGCAGTTGTAAAGAATGTTTTCAGGAAGAGTTGATGTGAGCACATGTGCTGCCAGTACAAAATCATGTCTTGTATCAGCATTGTAAGCATAGCAAATCACTATCACTATTGAATATTAGGCTGCTATCTACTGATTGTTCTTTTTTAATTGTCAGATGATTTTACTCACTTGTGTTCATCAAGTACTTTTTTTAAACTCATATTTGAAATAACATCACCATTAACAAGAATGAAATCTGATTTGATAAGTTCCTTGTTATCAATGTCCCTCAATGCATCACCAACAGTCCTACAATCTTCAGACACCAC